TTCCATTCCACTCCACTCTATTTTCTATTCTATTCTATTCTATTCTAGTCTACTCTATTCTATTCTATTCTTTTCATATTCTAATCTATTGTGTTCTGTTCCATTCCACTACACTCTATTTTTTATTCTATTCTATTCTACTCTATTCTATTCTTTCCATATTCTAATCTATTCCATTCTGCTCTATTCTGTTCTGTTCCATTCCACTCTATTCTATTCTTTCCATATTCTAATCTATTCTGTTTTCCATATTCTATTCTATTCTTTCCATATTCTTTCCATATTCTATTCTATTCTATTCTATTCTATTCTATTCTATTCCATTCCATTCCATTCCATTCCATTCTTATTCCATTCCATTCCACTCCACTCCACTCTATTTTCTATTCTATTCTAGTCTACTCTATTCTATTTTCATATTCTAATCTATTCTGTTTTATTCTGTTCTGTTCTATTCTATTCTGTTCTGTTCCACTCAACTCTATTTTTTATTCTATTCTATTCTACTCTATTCTTTCCATATTCTAATCTATTCTGTTCCATTCTGCTCTATTCTGTTGTTCTGTTCTACTCTATTCTTTCCATATTCTAATCTATTCTGTTCCATTCTGCTCTATTCTGTTGTTCTGTTCTGTTCCATTCCACTCCACTCCACTCCACTCCACTCCATTCCATTCCATTCTATTCTATTCTATTCTATTCTATTCTATTCTATTCTTTCCATATTCTAATCTATTCTATGCTTTCCATATTCTATTCTATTCTATTCTATTCTATTCTATTCTATTCATCCCTGTTCTATTTCTATTCTATTCGGTTCTGTTCTATTTCCTATTCTACTCTATTCTATTTTCTACTCTACTCTATTCCATTCCATCCCACCCCACCCCACCTCACTCCACTTTCTATTCTGTTCTGTTCCATTCTCTATTCTATTCTATTCTATTCTATTCTATTCTATTCTATTCTATTCTATTCTATTCTATTCTATTCTATTCTATTCCCTCCAAGGTCCCTTCCAACTTCTATTATTATTATTATTATTATTATTATTATTATTATTATTGTTGTTGTTGTTGTTGTTGTTGTTAAGTCGACTTTGGTTTTGAATGAATGACTTAATGAATTACTTTCTATACGTAAGGAGTAGAATAAGATAGCAGCATAAGCAGTGTCAACGCCTAAAAAAAGTTACAAAGTTCAGCTCATACGGTACCTGTACAAATAGCCGTTCAAAGGCTAAAAAGTTGTCCCATTTGGCGTTCTGAGGGTCTTTTAGAGTCTGTACAACAGCCAGCGCAATCTGCAGAAGCCCGCAATGATTTTCAAGAGCATCAATTTTCTTCTTGAAAAGCTGGATATACGTGTGAAGCTGATCAGGGGTGACTCTCCCTACGATGCAGGGGAAAATATATATATATTTATATAT